TATTTATAGTAGAGACAGGGTTTCACTCTTGCTCAGGTTGGCTTCGAACTCCTGACCTCAAGCAATCTGCCCACCTCGGCCTCCCAGAGTGCTAGGATTACAGGCATGAGCCACGGCACCCAGCCAAGAAATATTTTTGATTTGCACCACTGTGGGTACATTTCAGATGTCCATTCTTACATATCACAGTTTTTATTTTAAAAGGAGTGAGGAACATATAACATACACCAAAGAAGAGGTGGTATATATATAGTATCTACATATTTAGTACCACCTCTTTTTTAGATGTTTTTGTATATATAGATAAATATACATATATAACCATATATCTTTTTAAGTTTAGAAGGTAACTCTTCTTGCTTCCTAAAATTCTCCCTTCCCTATAATTGAAATATATCCACCTTCTTGCTACGGCTTCATGATAAATGGAGTGTACCTCCCACTCCTTGAATTTGAACCTGGCCATATGAACTGATCAGGCCCAAGAGAAGTTGGCAAATATAAAGCGAGGAGAATTCTAAAATACACTTAGGTAGTTGGGTTTGCACTCCTAGTGATCAGATAATCCACTATGTGAGGAACTTGTCCTGAGTAGTTGCTATCCCAGACAGAAAAGATCTGAACTGACCCTGTAGCCTAAAGCTGAGTCCAGAGTAGATCCTCCGAACTTCAACTGATCCACAGACCTAGGATTGTATGAATTATTCTGTAGTCCATATTCTCTCCACAATAAAGGAAGTCAGGAAGATGGAGTCTACTCCTATACTTTCTATTATTACTTGAGGCAAAAAACTTTCCATGTTTACATTTTTCCAATAAATAAAAAAATGCAGATAACACTAAGACATATCTGTATTACATACTGAAAACTCTGAATAACACAGAACTTCAAATATAAACATTTGATGGAAATAAGGTTTTTAAAACTAATTCAACTATACATTCTAAACCCACCAGTCTTTACTATTTAAAAAACATAACACAGAAGTGTGCAATGATGCCAAAATGCTTCTTGACATTACCAAGGGGAAAAAGTCCAACCTGCTACTACCCTTGTCCATCTTAACTACCATAACTGCCTCACTATGTACCTTCTTGTTTCTTCTAGGGCTCCTCTCTAATCCTTCTTTACCTACAAATTGTAGTGATCTTTGAAAAATGAAAATTAGATTATAAAATTATTCTACTTAAAATCCTTCAAAAACATTTCCTATTTTCTCTGAATAAAATTCAAACTTTTGGTCAAGTGTGGTGGCTCATGCCTGTAATCCTAGCACTCTGGGAAACCAAGGTGGGAGGATTGCTTGAAGGCCAGAAGTTTGAAACCAGCCTGAGAAATAGCAAGACCCCATCTCTAACCCTGCAAAAATAAGAAAAAAATTAGCTGGGTGTGGCAGCGCATGCCTGTAGTCCCAGCTGCTCAGAAGGCTAAGGTGAAAGGATTGCATGGGCCCAGGAGTCTGAGGTTGCAATGAGCTATGATGACGCCACTGCACTCTAGCCTAGGCAAAAGAGAGAAACTCTGTCTCAAACGAAAAAACAAAAAAAGAATATTTTCCTAAAGATACACACTTTTCTCTATTTCTCTCATCTTGCTCCTTCTACAGTAACATTCTTAATAAGTATAAAAACATAACAAGATATTTTGTTAAGCAAGGACTATCAGCCATCCTTATTTCCCATTTTCTGCCTATTCACTTAATTGCCATCACAGAAGCAGTAAAAACTGAAAAATTACTATAAATTCACAATAGCTAATAACCTACTTGTGGCCCTATGCCAATGTAAGCTTCTTTGAATGTTAGGCTTTCTTTTCTAGCTTGATGTAAGATAAAGACATTTGCTACCAGACACTGGAAATTAGAATTTCTAATCTTAACAGAACAGAATAAATTAGAATGTGACTTCTTAAACCTAGCTTTAGATGGAATTCAATCTTTGTTTCTCATCAATTTGATCCAACTATCAACATAATGAATAATGTAAATAAAAATATTTCACATTTATATACTGACTTTCACCCAAGAACCTCCAACACTGCATAGAATGAATTGGATTTATTTAATTAAATACATAAACACAAAATTCTGCCTGCCTTTCCATTGACGTAATTATCTTGTTTACTTTATAGTTAGGGAGGTTAACCAGAAATCTTATCAAAAAAAATTATTCTAGGCCGGGCGCGGTGGCTCACGCCTGTAATCCTAGCTCTCTGGGAGGCCGAGGCGGGCGGATTGCTCGAGGTCAGGAGTTCGAAACCAGCCTGAGCAAGAGCGAGACCCTGTCTCTACTATAAATAGAAAGAAACTAATTGGCCAACTAATATATATAGAAAAAATTAGCCGGGCATGGTGGCTCATGCCTGTAGTCCCAGCTACTCGGGAGGCTGAGGCAGGAGGATTGCTTGAGCCAGGAGTTTGAGGTTGCTGTGAGCTAGGCTGACGCCATGGCACTCACTGTAGCCTGGGCAACAAAGCGAGACTCTGTCTCAAAAAAAAAAAAAAAAAAAAATTATTCTAAAATAAGTTTCTAAACTTTGTAATAATTATACTCTTCTTTCAAACTCTGGGAATTTATAAACACATAAAGATGAATTAAGTGTATGAGAAAATAAAAGAATATTATAAATATAAATTTATTTACTTAAAAATTGATTTTCTTTTTAAACATAATAGATACTGCAAAGACTCTTCATGGGTGGACGAGAACTCAGAATAATTTAGTTCAATTTCTTGAAGTGTCAGACTTTCGGTTTTAGGTGGTACATGTACTCGTATTAGTAAAAGAATAAAGACATGGACCAATGGAACAGGACTGAGAACTCAAACATAAAACCATCCTCATATAGCCATCTGATCTTTGACAAAGCAGTCAAAAACATACACTGGGGAAAAGAATCCCTATTCAATAAACGGTACTAGGGAAATTGGACAGCCACATGCGGAAGATTGAAAGAGGATCCACACCTCTCACAAAAATCAACTCACAATGGATAACAGACTTAAATCTAAGGCATGAAACCATAAGAATCCTAGAAGAAAATGTCAGAAAAACTCATATAGACATCGGCCTAGGCAAAGAATTTATGAAGAAGACTCCAAAAGCAATCACAGCATCAATAAAAATAAATAAGTGGGACTTGATCAAATTAAAAAGCTGCTGTACACCCAAAGACACTATCCTTAGAGTGAATAGACAACCTACAAAGTGGGAGAAAATATCTGCATACTATACATCCAACAAAGGGCTAATAACTAAAATCTATATAGGACTCAGGAAAATCACCGAGAAAAAAATCAAACAACCCCATTAATAAGTGGGAAAAGGACATGAACAGAAATTTTCAAAAGAAGATAGACTTATGGCCAACAAACATATGAAAAAATGCTCAACATCTCTAATCATCAGAAAAATACAAATCAAAACGACAATGAAATATCACTTAATTCCAGAGAGAATGGCTTTTATCAAAGTCCTAAAACAAAAAATGTTGGCATGGATGTGGAGAGATAGGAATACTCATACACTGCTGGTGGAACTGCAAACTAGTACAACCTCTATGGAAAGTAATATGGAGATACCTCAAAGAGCTAAAAATAGAAGTGAGCTGCAGGCAAGCCAGCAAAGCTTCATCTGTATTTACAGCCACTGCCCATCACTCACATCACCGCCTGAGGTTCATCTCCTGTCAGATCAGCGGTGGTAATAGATTCTCATAGGAGCGCAAACCCCATTGTAAAGTGCCCAAGCAAGGGATCTAGGTTGCGCACTCCTTATAAAAATCTAATGCCTGATGATTTGAGGTGGAGCTGAGGTGGTGATGCTAGCGCTGGGAGTGGCTGCAAATATAGATTATCATTAACAGAGAGGTTTGACTGCACAATAAATGTAATGTATTTCAATCATCCTGAAACCATCCTGTTCCTCCCATATCCTCCATCCCAGTCTGTGGAAAAACTGTCTTCCATGAAACTGGTCCCTAGTGCCAAAAAGGTTGGGGACTGTTGCTATAATACATCTACAATTGTTTCAGAATTGCTTTGCCCACAATATAAAAAAACAAATATTCTAAAAAGAGTATTTGTTTGCAACTCTCCTCCCACCCCATATATCTCATCTTGCCCAAAAGAGTGTGCATTGACAAATACTGTGTAAATCATTTGGATTAGTTCTTTTTCTCTTCAGCATGATTATTATATTTATATGAAATAAAATTGGGTTGATTTCTTTCAGTTTGAGGTTCTTCTCTCCCTTTTATCCTAAATAAATTTTTTGCATATGTAGAATACTGACGTGGTACCAACAGTAAAAATTACATACAAAGAGCTACATTAGAGAACTGTCATTCCTTTTCATGTCCTTTCCACCCCATTCCTTGGATCTTTTTATAAAGGTAAGTAGATAATAGACATGTTTATTTTCCTTCCAGCCTTACACAAAAGATAGCATACTATATATGCTTTTTTGCACCTAACATTATCTCTGGAAATTACTCCATGTCAGTTCATAGAGACCTTATTTTTTTTCTTATAGCTATATAGTTAGTATTCCATTACATGTACATATTATAGTATATTTCAACTAATCTCCTATTCTTGCACATTTACTTTCCAATATTATATAGTTACATATAATACTGTAATGAATAACTATGTATTTTGTACTATCGGAGATGTATCTTCCAAATAAATTCCTAGAAATGAGAAAGCTGGGTAGAAGAATAAGTACACATGTAGTTTTCTTAATCTTGCCAAATTTCCCTCATTATAGGTTATACAAATATTATATTTTGGTTCAAACTTATTTGGTAATATACTGATTTGTTGGAAATCCTGGTCCATCTCTTTTGGATTTCATTTGTTGGCTAGATGTAATGTTATGATGATGGAATTCTCCCTCTCACTCCTACTAACCCTGAGTATTTTTAATATTTGTTTTATATTTTGCAAATCTCAAAAGAAGGAAAATACAAAGAAAAGTAAGTTACTTTAATTACTTACTGAGTGGTGTTGTGTCAGGAGGTGGAAAATTCTCAGTAAAGTTGACATTACATAAATCTGTGCTACAACAGCAGAAACGGTATGTTCCATTCTGAATTGAGGGAGGAGTGGTGGTTACTACACATTCTTCATAGTGACACTCTTGGGGGTCTCCAATGTGAGACCAACATCCTACAAATCAATATTAATATAAATAAATTAGGAGTCAATATGATAAAGAAAACTAAAAGGAAATAACAAACTAAGAAATAATTGCAATAAATGTGAGACAGTGAGTAAACATAAGCTATAAAACAGTTTTGCAAATCAATAGGAAACACATTTTTTTTTTTTTTTTTTGAGACAGAGTCTCGCTTTGTTGCACAGGCTAGAGTGAGTGCCGTGGCATCAGCCTAGCTCACAGCAACCTCAAACTCCTGGGCTCAAGCAATCCTGCTGCCTCAGCCTCCCGGGTAGCTGGGACTACAGGCATGCACCACCATGCCCGGCTAATTTTATATATATATATTAGTTGGCCAATTAATTTCTTTCTATTTATAGTAGAGACGGGGTCTTGCTCTTGCTCAGGCTGGTTTCGAATTCCTGACCTCGAGCAATCCGCCCGCCTCGGCCTCCCACAGTGCTAGGATTACAGGCTTGAGCCACCGCCCCCGGCCAGGAAACACATTTTTTTAAGAAACAAAAATGTCAAAGGATATAAGACATCTCATAGGAATAAAAAAGCCACGAACAAAATGTTTAACTCCATGGTTAACCTAAGAATTGTTAAAGCAGCAGTAAAATTTAATTTTTGTCTGTACTAATTAAATTGTTCTAGGTTTAAAAAATAACAACACACATTATAACAAGGATTCAGTAACACAAATACTCTCATACAATGCTGGAGGGAATGTAAACGAGTAATATTTTTAGAAAGCCATATGGAGGCCAGGCATAGTGCCTCATGCCTGTAACCCAGTACTTTGGGAGTCTGAGGCAGGAGGATTGCTTGAGGCCAGAAGTTTGAGACCAGCCTGAGCAATATAGCCAGACCCCACCTCTACAAAACAAAACAAAACAAAAAAAATTATCCAGGGTGGTACGTGCCTGTGGTCCCAGCTGCTTGGGAGGCTGAGGCAGGAGAAGAGCTTGAGCCCAGGAGTTCGAAGCTGCAGTGAGCTATGATCATGTCACTGCACTCCAGCCTGGGCAACAGAGTAAGACGCTATCTCTAAATTAATTAATTAATTAATTAATTAAGAGAGCAATATAGGCCGGGCGCTGTGGCTCACGCCTGTAATCCTAGCTCTTGGGAGGCCGAGGCGGGCGGATTGCTCAAGGTCAGGAGTTCAAAACCAGCCTGAGCAAGAGCGAGACCCCGTCTCTACTATAAATAGAAAAGAAATTAATTGGCCAACTGATATATATATATAAAAAAAAAAAAAAAATTAGCCGGGCACGGTGGCGCATGCCTGTAGTCCCAGCTACCCGGGAAGCTGAGGCAGAAGGATCACTCGAGCCCAGGAGTTTGAGGTTGCTGTGAGCTAGGCTGACGCCATGGCACTCACTCTAGCCTGGGCAACAAAGCGAGACTCTGTCTCAAAAAAAAAAAAAAAAAAAGAGAGCAATATGGAAATTTTTATGCCAAGCCTTTAAAATATTCATATTTTATAACCTAATAATTTTATGTCAAGAAATCTATTTCAAGGAAACAATCACAAAGACTTATGTTCAAATTTGTTCACTGAAATATTGTGTATTATGGTGAAACCACAAAAACAACATAATGTCCTACAATACAATAGAGTTATGTGGAAGTAAACTCTGATGCATATATACAAGGAAATATTGTGCAGAGTTTAAAAATGTTTTCAGAGAATATTTAAAGACATGGAAAAATGCTCATGATATAATTAAATTGGAAAAAACTAGGTATGAAATTATATAGTATCATCCTAACGTTGGGAAAATACACACACAAATAAACATAGAAGTATGTAGAAAATACACGTGAAGGAGACAAACTAATACAATAAAAACAGCATATTATTGTAGACTTTTGCTTTTCTTTACAGTTTTCTGTGTTTTCCAAATTTCATACAATGAGCATGTATAACACTATAATAAGAAAGATGCTATTAAAATAAGCTAAAAAAACCTTTTATAAATTTGGGGCTTGTGGATGGATGGATAGATACATAGATATACTTTTGAATTTACTTATTTTCTGGAGAGCATTTTAATCTATCTCCATATCCTTTTTAGATGAATTTCAATTACATAAAACACAAAATCATTTCAGATAAGAAAAGTAACACTTGCCTTGTTTTACGAGATTTATGTCCCCTTTAGATTTCTCCCAAAGGCCATAGCAGGTGCTACCTTTTGAGCACAATATTGTCCCATTTTCATGAGAGATTCGACTCTCACCTATCCCGAGGTCTTGTTGATATGGGTCTTTAAATGCACATAGCCGTTCTTGATTCTGGGAAGCTACAATTTCGGAAATAAAGGAATGACAAATTAATTTTATGATAATCTTTGCAAAACATTACTGTGTAACATCTTAGTCTTATTTGAATGACATTATTATTTAATAATTTCCCCATTAAATCCTTTGAATTCAAATCCTTGAATAAATTTGTAATTTTACATTTATTCAATAACTTCTTTCTATTCATTAATTCCTTTGTAACCTCCAAACAAGAAGCAAATTTTAAAATTCATTTCCCAAAAGCAATCACCTCTTACTAAAATTATTCTCACCATTCTTTCTCTTATTAAATAATATTGCTGTCCAAATAAAGAAACAGTATTAAAGAAAATGTCTGCACAGTAACATACCAAGCCTTTAAAATAAACCTGGAGGCTGAATAATTTCAGAAATTCTACAATACTCACTGTATCATATTTTATAGTCAGTTGTAGAAAATTACATACATCATTAGGCATGGTAAATTAATGATGTGGAGAGTGACTACAAATGGGTACATGGTTTCTTTTGGGAGTGATATGTATATATTCTAAAACTAGATTATGGTAATGGTTGCAAAACTCTGTAAAGTCACCAAAAACCAAAAAGTTTCACTGAATTGTTTACTTAAAATGAGTGAATTTCATGGCATATAAATTATAGCTTAATAAATCTGTATTTAAAAATCAAAAAGAAAATGACTTTCCATTATTTGAAGTATCAATATAATAGCCAGAAAAATAAATGCTCAACACTCCTTACTGTAAAGGGAAAATGTAATGTTGTAGGGGTTTTTTTTTTGTTTTTGAGACGGGGTCTAGCTCTGTCACTAGCTCTAGAGTGCAATGGCGTCATCATAGCTCACTGCAACCTCAAACTCCTGGGCTCAAGTGATCCTCCTGCCTCAGCCTCCCAAAAAGTTGAGACTACAGTCATACATCACCACACCTGCCTAATTTTTCTTATTTTTTGTAGAGATGAGGTCTCACTATGTTGCTCTGAACGCCTGGCTCAAGCAACCCTCTCGCCTTGGCCTCCTTAAGTGCTAGGATTATAGGCATGAGTCACTGCGCCTGGCCCCTAATGTATTTTTATTGCCAATCTGTCTTTCCCCATACAGATGATTTGATCTAATTTTTGTAGAACATTTGCCACATAATTTATCAGCTAATATTTACCAAAATTTCTGAGAATACCAAAGTAAAAGATTATCAAAAGTAACATCTAATCTTTATTTGGTCACTTTTGGTCTCTTTTTATTTGGAAAGATTTTTCTAATGTGTTTGACTCGCCAGAATAACAGGCTAGTACATTTGGCCAATGTATTCCTCATGGGCTTCCTGTGTATTTCTTTATTTAGTATGTGTATCTATTTGGTGTGGCTTGATTCATGAGCACTGTGTTTTATTAAAATAATGTTTCTGAACAAAACTAAGAACTAAGCTCTGGAGAAGAAATGAAAGAGCCAACAACATGTGTCCAAGCCAACTCAGACACACAGATGTATCATATTTATAATAATGGAATGTATCTTCAAAGTATTTGGCTAGGAAATAGGGTATTCACAAAGGAGTAATATAGAGTTCTATCCCTCAAACACTTTGGATTAGAGAAACCAAATCACAGACAGTAATTAGTGAGAAATAAATGTGACTTGATTTGTACATTTAAAACCACTTCAATTGGACATCATGCTATAATGTACTAAAACAAAACAAAACAAAAAACCACTGTAGGCAGTCTTCTAGAAGATATTTACTAATATCAACTAAATAGCCAGAAAATATAGTATAATCTATTTATAAAAACTAATTCTAGTTCACTTCTGAAATGTACCTTAAAAAAAAAAAAAAAAAACTAATTCTAGGCCCAGGCATGGTGGCTCATGCCTGTAATTCTAGCACCCTGGGAGGCCGAGGCGGGCAGATCACTCAAAGTCAGGAGTTCGAAACCAGCCTGAGCAAGAGCGAGACCCCTGTTTCCACTAAAAATAGAAAGAATTAATTGGCCAACTAAAAATATACAGAAAAAATTAGCCGGGTATGGTGGCACATGCCTATAGTCCCAGCTACTCAGGAGGCTGAGGCAGAAGGATTGCTTGAGCCCAGGAGTTTGAGGTTGCTGTGAGTTAGGCTGATGCCACGGCACTCTAGCCCTGGCAACAGAGTAAGACTCTGTCTCAAAAAAAAAAAAAACCAAACCAAAAAAACCCCCTAATTCTAGAATATTAGCCTAATTATGATCTACCATATTATTATCACATGTATATATTCAAATTCCTTTAATGACAAGTTTCATTATATTTACTAGATTATCTTCCACATTTAACAACAGTATTTCCTTAGGTTATTCCTTAATTTGCAGATTTTACCTAATTAATCATAAAGATTAAATCAAATATATTTCTACATATAAAAAGTACATACGATACAAAGATTCACTTAGAATTCAAACTAAAAACAAAAAATCTGTGATATAAATCTGAAAAGGCATCTATCCATAATACATAATTCTTTCTCTCTGTCCCACCCCATTTCTTGACTCAGGTTAAATGTTCCTTACCTAACCAGACATTGAGGCTATCTATATAACCTACTGTTTCCCTTTTTGTCCTAATTGTCAGAAAATCATAAAAAATTTATGAATTTAGTATCTCTAGTTTTCTACAACTAAGATATTCTAATTTTACCCCCAGCCCCCATCTTCTGTTATCCATTTTGACTAGAATTTTGGACTGAACATTGAGTTAATGAGTAGGTTTTATCACTGAAAGTAGGCAGAAAAGTAGGCACAAAAAGTGCCTTATTTAATTTTAAAAAGAAAAAGGTACATTCTTTAAAAGAATAGATACAAAACAAAAAGTTTTCATTTTTCCTGGATTTCTTTTACCATTGAAAAGTAGCTAAAGGCCTGGACATCTGTGTAAATTTTTTAAATTATTGTTATATAATTTGATAATTGAAATCTAAAATTCTTCTTTTAGAAGAAAAAAAAACCAAACTAAAGTCCAACCTCCTCTGTGCCTCCCTCCCTGCAAAACTAAGCTGAATGGACTATCAGATCAATAAAAGTATAATTAGAGAGGACTAAATCATATCTTTAACATCTCTCAGTTTTCACTAAATAATTTTTTTCTTAAAATAATTTTAGTCTACTTCTATGAAATTATTTTATGATGGTAGCATTAGTGTAGGCCAATTATAATTTGCTATTTTAAGAGTAATACTTTCCTTTAAGTTATGATTCATCAAATTACTATATAACAAAAAGATTTCCTTGCAAGAATTCTAGGTAAACTGCTCTAGTCAAAACAAAAAAAAATCCATTTTGTAGCAGAGCATTTGTAGCTTTTTCAATGCCATTTGTTAAAATCAATCTCAACAATATATCTGTATAAAGTTTTTTTTTTCTTTTTTTTTCTTCGCTCCACCTCCGCCACACTCTGTATAAAGTTTTGAATTCTTCAATAAGTAATGTAGAAAAAGTAGGAATAAAACAAAACAATGCTGATCATAATCCCAGAAGACACAATCCCAGTTGCCATAATCCCAAATGTTGAAATCCCAAAAGATCAAAATCCTTAAAGTTTAAAACCCTTAATGTCTAAAATCTTGAAAATCACAATCCCAAATGTTGAAATCCTGAAAGCCAAATCCTGGGAAAGGGATTAGCGCATTTTTGGTTGTACAAAGGATAGTTGCTTCATGTTTGTTGCATCATGTTAGGCAGACCTATTACCATGTTATGGTATTATTTGGAAATTAAGTATGGTTTAAGGAGATTCATATGGGTGCCAAGTTGACAAGGGGTGGACTTAATTTAGGTGTCAACTTGACTGAATTAAAGAATACCTAGAAACTTGGTAAAGCACTATTTGGGGTGTGTCTGTGAGGGTGTTTCCAGAGGAGATTGGTGTGTGAGTCTAAGTGGGCTAGCTGGGGAACATCTGCCCTCAATGTTGACAGGCACCATCCAATCAGCCAGGGGCCAGAGAGAACACATACAGAAGGTGAATTATATCTTGAGAGCTGGGGCAGACTTTATTCTGCTGCCTTGGACATCAGATCTCCAGGCTCACTGGCCTCATTATTAATGTTGTGATGAAAGCAGAAAATTGCTTAATTACAACAGCCAACCAATAAATAGACTTTCAAATGGACAGCATATACTTATAAAATTTGTAGACCACAACCACTTTCCAAATACAAGTGCAGCAAGTGTTTCAAAGATCAGAGAAATGAAAATACAGGCAAAAAATACAAGAAATACCCCCTGCCAAATTATTTAATGGTGTACAACTTCTACCCCTTCACACATAGCACCATGCCCTTTGTCAGAGAATAAAAAGAATTCAGGCAGTTTGTGGTGGCTCACACCTATAATCCTAGCACTTTAGGAGGCTAAGGGTGGAGGATCCCTTGAGGCCAGTTCGAGACCAGCCCAAGCAAGATCAAGACTCCCAGCCCCTATAAAAAGAAAAATAAGCCCCACGCCTGCCTATAGTCCCAGCTGTTTGGGAGGCTGAAGTAGGAGGACTGCTTGAGTCCAGCAGTTTAAGCTTGCAGTGAGCTATGATGAAGCCACTGTACTCTAGCCTGAGCAACAGAGCAAGACCCTGTGTCTCAAAAAAAAAAAAAAAAAAAAAAAAAGAACTCAACAAGCTCAGTGACCTTCTGAACTTGCTGATTCATATAGAGGTTTTTGCAGTGTTACAAAACATTAAATGATGAACTATCCTTGGTTGTGGATTTGACGGTTCAAGAAGATAGACTTCTTATGTTTACCACTAAATCTAACAGAAAAACTAGTGTATGCTTCACTTTGGCTAATGGATAGCACTTTCACAACTACCCCCACTGTCTTTTATCAAGTACTCACAATTCATTCCCGGGCCCCAAAATTCTAGAACTTATTTGCTTATTTATGTATTAATGACTACGAAAAGTGAAGTATTTTATAAGTACTCATTTGAAGATTTGGTAGACTTTGTAGAAGAAAATGGATTTCCATTAAATTCCCT